AAAAAAAAAAAGAGTTGCTGTGGTCATGTTATGTATCTTTTCACAGCTACAGAAACCCTAAGGCCTCTCTGCCATAATATGCGATTAAAGCTGAGAATCTGTCTCAGAGGAATAGGGCCAAGCTGCAAAGAAGACCCTGAGACCAGACCAGCTGCCTGGAAGCAGAGGCCAGCCGAACTGCCCGGAAGAAGTTTAGGACAACTGAGGCACCTGGAAAAGGACTCTCCAACCTGGTGAGCCGCCTGCAGGCTGCGCAGTGAGCTCCAGGTTCCCAGCTTTGTGAGCTGCCACCGTGCTGGGGTGGGCCTTGGTGATGCAGCTGCCACTGAGTCATTTCTGCTCCTATAGATAACCCCTCACCCCTATCCCTGTAAGTGACCCCAATAAAACTCAGGGTTTGCCAGGTTGGACTCTGGTGGTGTCTCCACTTTGGTCTGTCGTGGGCTCCCTATCTGGGGTGAGTAGACGCATGTCTCTCCAGGATAAGTTTTGTTCCACAACACGGTGTGCGCCTGTGCTGCGGCACACACGTGGGAGTCAGAGAACAACCTGTGGGAATCTGTTTTCTCCCCCTTCTATGTGGGCCACAGGGATTGAACACAGGCCATCAGGCCTAGGGACCAGTGTCCCCAGCAGCTGAGCCCTCTCACTGGTGTGCCATTTCCAGATCTGGAACTTGGCTTTGGACTTCGAACCGTCCCTTACTGCAGTGGTCTCCCTCTGCTCTCTCCATAGCCAGTGCCCTCAGGAGGCCCAGGGCTTTTCTGGAAGAATCCACTACAGCCCCTCACCATCTCCAGCTTCCAACCTGCAACCCACATACCTCTGGGATGCCTCTGCTGGCCTGGCCTGTTCCCAGACTTGGGGTCTGTGGGCCAGAGAGAGCGGAAGGGCCATGGCATGAGAGTGTGGGTGGATGCTCACAGCCTTGGGCTTCGATGCAGAGCACAGAGGCTCATGCTAGAGAGAGAGGACAGGCTGGGCCTCGGGAGCCTGGAGGACACAGGTGCCCGGCATTCTGGGTGAGACAGAGGTGGGATTCAGCTGTGGTGGCTGTGGAGCGCACGATGGAGAGATGGAATCTGCAAGAGGGCGCTTGGGCTTGAAGGCTGGACAGAGTCTGACCCAAGGTTCCCGCAGCCCAGCCCAGGGCAAGGAGGAGGTGCCATTTCTCATCCTGTTTGGAGCACCACCTCCCTTTATGAGGACATGAAGAGATTATACCTGGATTTGTTTCCTCAGCGTCCGTTCCAACCCTGCTCAGCACTCAGGGGGCTCCCTGAATGAAAGGAAAAATCAGAACTCTTCCATTCTCATTTAACGGACATTTATTATTTATTGAACACCTACTCCGTGCCTGGCCCTGGCCCAGGCCCAGGCCACTAAACAGACAAATGTTGGCATTTCTGCTATAATGGAAGAAAGGGAAAGAAGTAAAGACATACTTGTTAAGTGGCAGCGGGAACAGAGGAGAAGCAGTCTGTGTTGGCAAGGGTGGGCTACGGGGTGGGGGGAAGTGTCAGTGTGGTTTTCAGGAACTAGATGGGATGAGAGAGGTGGCAGAGAGGCCCTCCTCCAGGCAGGAGTGTGCTAGCCCGGAGATAAAGTTGAGAGAGGTAGAGGAGGTGTGGATCGGTCCGGCTGTGGGGAGCCCAAGGCTCCTGTTTCTTCTCTGCTTGGATGGAGCCTCAGCAGGCTGTCGAGGGGAAGAGCGGTGGGACCTGGCTTATTTAACACGCTCGCTGATGGCTTAACTCGCTCGCTGATGACTTAACTCGCTCGCTGATGACTTAACTCGCTCGCTGATGGCTTAACTCGCCGTGAGACGAGGCCAAGGAAAACCAAGGCTGGAAGTGGAAGCCTTGAGGTGGAAGCGGGTGAGAGTGGGTGAGAGAAGCCGGCGGCCGTGGCGGTGGCAGTGGCAGCGGTGGCAGCAGCGTGTGTTCTGAGTAGAAGAGGGGTGGGGGCTGGGCTTGGGTGAGCAGGAACCAGCAAGGACACCGGCGGCTGCAGGCCCTGCAAAGGCCCTCCAAGGCCTCTGGAGACCTCCTGACTCCTCTTCCAGTCTCAGGTTGGATACAGCCACCCTAGGAGACTGCTCTCCCCGCACCACTGGCCTGCTTCCTCATGAAAACCTCTGCCTTGACACTTGGGATTGGGCCCTGGCTTTCCTCTCCTTGACAGACCCCTCCCCCACGAGCTGCTCCTTGGTCTCCGTGGTTTCCTATCAGAAGACAAGTTTTGGGAGTCCGTTCGTTCTCTTCTTCCACTGTGGGATCCTAGGATTGAACTCAGGTCAACAGGAGCCATCTTGCCGGCTGACCTTGAACTTCAGTTTGATCACCCGGGCCTGTGCTGTGCTAGTCTGTAGGGTCTGTGCAGTGCTGGGGGTGGTGAATGAACCCAGGTCCTTGGGCCCACGCTAGGCAATCAAGGACTCTATGAACCCTTTCTAAACAGGGCCTCGCTGTAGCCCAGGCTGGCCTGGCACTCATGGCATTCCTCCTGCCTCAGTCTCTCAAAGCTGGGGTTACAGGCATGAGCACCATCCCTCAGGTCTCTGTTTACTTGCTTGTTTGAGCTCTTATTTTGGATTGTCTCTTCCTAGCATAAATCACAAGAAGGCAGCTGCACCTTCCTGACCACTGGCTTTATGAGGTCACCTCAGGTACTGGGGACCCAGGAATGTTCTTCCTCTCTCCCTGCAGGTGGACACTGCCGTTCTTACTCTTCGAGGACAGGAAGAGATTATACCTAGATTTGCCGGAGGTGTGAGGCTCTGGAAAGCCTTGCTGGAGAGAAGGCTCAGCAGGCAGAAGCACTAACTGCTCTAGCAGGGGTCCCTCCCGTTCGGGTCTCTGCAGCCACATGGTGGCTCACACTCACCTGTATGTAACTCCGTCCCAGGGCACATGACACCCTATTCTGGTCTCCTCAGACTCCTTCCCACGTGTGGTGCACATATATGCAGGCAAACGGTCTAACACATAAAAATAAATTTAAAAGTAAAAGCCACCCCCCCCCCCCCGTTCCTCCAGCACCACCCACTTCTGCGCCTGTTCCAGCGCGCTTCCCAAGTGTGGCCGGGTGTCTCTAGGCCAGGTAGGTGGCAGCAGTTGTGAAACGTCCAGACCTGGCTCTGGGGACCCCCCACCCCCAACTCCCCGACTTCCAGCTCTGAGGCCTCCTGGCTGCGTGGGTCACTCCGCCCCTTGCCTCAGTTTCCCCACCGGTCAGTGTAGGGGCTCGGCAGGTGACCCACCTGCTCGCGGGGCCTCTCTGTCGCGGGCCGGAGGGACGCGCCTACAGGGCTCCCGGGCGCCCGCGGGAGGGCGCGGCTTG